GCACAGTCGGTTAAGCGTCTGCCTTCATTCAGCTCAGGTCACGATCCCAGGGTCCTCGGATAAGGATGGGCTCCTTGCTCGGAGGGGAGCCTGCTTCTCCCTCTGCCTGCCACTCTCCCTGCTAGTGCTCTCTCTCTCTCTCTCTGACAAAGAAAATCTTCCCCCCAAAATGCCCATTTTCTGAATCTTTATTAAGTGCCAGGCACTTTGCTTGGAGTTTGAATATGTTATCTAATTTAATCCTCCCAAAAATTGTTATTCCAACTGTAGACACGAGGACACTGGGACTCAGAAAAAGTCTAGCGAGCTGCATAGCAAGAGCCTATTGGAATCAAGTCTGCTAACCATTCAAACATTAAAAATAACAATTTAAAAAATCACAAACTATTTTAATGAAAGTTTTGGGTTTAAAGAGGTCTTACTTGCATAACCTATACCTATTGCCAAAATCAAAGGAAATGGACATGGATATCTGGGGATGCTGTGCCCAGGGGACGGGGTGGGCAGGCGGTGTAGGAGACTCCATACCTTCTGCTCAATATTGTTGTGAACCTAAAACTTCTCTAAATAAAGCCTACTGGGGGGCGCCTGGCCGGCTCAGTCAGTAGAGCATGCGACTCTTGACACCAGGCTTGTAAGTTCAAGCCCCACGTTGGGTGTAGGGATTACTTAAAAATAAAATCTTTAAAAAAATTTTTTTTAAATAAAAAAATAAAGTCTATCGACACAAAAGGGGGCACTGTGTCCTTGTATGGCTGACCTTTGAGAATTTTATAAATTTACGTTCTTGGGTATTTATCAGGAAACATAAAAAATCAAAGGTTCCTAAAATAAGGCAGACGGTTTTGAAACTACAGACGGTCACCAACTTCCGATGGTCTGACTTAATCGTTCAACTTTACGATGGTGCGAATGTGAAATGCATTCAGTAGAAACTATACTTCAGATTTCAAATTTGGATCTTTTCCTGGTCCAGCCAGAAGTGGTATGAGACTCTTTCATGATGCCAGGCAGAGACAGGGAGCCGAGGCCCCCTGTCAGCCCAGCGATCACGAGGGTCAACAACCAATACACTCACAACCATTCTGTACCCAGACAACCATTCTGTTTTTCACTTTCAGCACAGTACTCAATACATGACACGAGATATTCAACACTTCATTATAAAATGGGCTTTGTGTTAGATGATTTGGCCCAACTATAGGGTAATGTGGGTGTTCTGAGCACGTTTAAGCTGGGCTAGGCTAAGCGATGATGTTCGGTAGGTTAGGTGTACTAAATGCATTTTTGACTTAAGATATTTTCAACTGATCGTGGGTTTATCCAGATGTAACCCCATCATGAGCTGAGGAAGATCTGTATTGTGAACGGAAGTTACACTGGACACAAAATGAGAGGCCACGGACTTCTCTGGTCAATGGAATTGATGTTGTCACAGATCGGGTTCCCAGGGAAGCAGGCTCTGAGACAGAGTGGCAAGATGTTCATTAAAAAATGTCCATGAGGTCAACACCTTTGGAGGGAGGGACAGGAAGCAGGATGGGACAGAGGGAAAAGTTGAGCTGCCATGTGAACCCAGCAACGGGCTCAGCCAACCTCCGAATTATTGCCCCTAGATGCCAGAACTTTACATCGCCTCCTGAATTAGTCATTGGATGTCGTGCACCCTGGGAAGTGGCATGACCTTGGGCAAGGCGGCTCAGCAGCCCCAGGCAGACCAAGGCAGACCTGGAGAGGGCTGGCTATGGATAACCCTCAGAGATGGGCAGCCAGTCCTCCCTTGAAGCCAAATCTGGTAGCCTAGTACCAGTAGGTAGTCGCCTACTCCCTCACTGGTGTTCTGTCCTTTCCACATGAGGAGGGAAAGCCCGAGGATGAGTGAGATGCTCATGTGATGCCTCTTGTTTATTGTCCTGGTGGTGGTAGTGCTCACAGTTTTGGCTAAGAGTGGAGGCCCTTCAGTCATGTTGCCTGGGTTAGAACCACTCCATAGCTCCCTGCAGCACAACTTCGGACAAAGATGCCCAGCCTCTCTGTGCCTATGTCTTCATTTAAAAATGGGAATAGGGGCTGGGTACCTGGGTGGCTCAGTCAGTGAAGCGTCTGCCTTCGGCTCAGGTCATGATCTCAGGGTCCTGGGATTGAGCCCCGCATTGGGCTCCCTGCTCAGCTGGGAGTCTGCTTCTCCCTCTACTTCCCCCTCTTCTGCTCCCCCCACTTGCATGCTCACACTCTCTCTCAAATAAATAAAATCTTTATTTTTTTTAGACGATTATATTTACTTATTTGACAGAGACACAGCGAGAGAGGGAACACAAGCAGGGGGAGTGGGAGAGGGAGAAGCAGGCTTCCTGCTGAGCAGGGAGACGGATATGGGACTCGATCCCAGGACCCTGGGATCATGACCTGAGCTGAAGGCAGACGCTTAACGACTGAGCCACCCAGGCGCCCCTCAAATAAATAAAATATTTTTTAAAAAATGGGAATGGGGGCACCTGGCTGGCTCAATGAATAGAGCATGTGACTCTTGATGTCAGGGTTGTAAGTTCGAGCCCCACATTTGGCATAGAGCTTACTTTGAATGGATGAATGAATGAAAGAATGATAGTACCTAGACCATGCAGTTGTTATGAGGGTTAACTATCATAACACTATAAGGGGCTTAGCCAAACACCTCATAAGTGCTCAGCATACTGTGTCATCGGTGCCTCTGGCCCTCTCTTCTTTAGCCTTCCATGATTGGCTAAGTTAGAATCTTCTATCAGGTTACACTCACAATGACTTTTTTGGTGGGGATTGGAAACTGAGTAAGATCCAGGCTGGAGGTGAAGGCCATGAGAAACATACGATGAACATGATCTAAAGGAGGCTGGAACTTTCTTTTTAATGGTGAAAAACAACAGCTACACTCCAAACATGCCTTATTCTTTCAAGCTCTCTGGCTCTGTACGCATGCCCCTTTCCCCATCTTTCAGCAATGCCAGTTCTCCCAATCCGTACCCTGGCCGGCCCGTCCCTTACCACGCTTACCACTGTCCTCTTACCTCCTGAGAACTAGATCAAATGTGACCCTCTTTGTGAACATTCTGGGGTCCGTCAGGGCCTCCCCTCAACTCCAATGGCTCTGTATCCACATCGGTTACACCCAGGCCAGCACTGCGCCATGATGGTCAAGTACGTACCCCAGCCATCTCCATCCTACCCCTTTCCTTGCAGCTGGTGAACTGGACACCCGAAGAATCAGATTTAAGATGGAACCTCCTCGGGGCGCCTGGGTGGCTCAGTCGGTTAAGCATCTGCCTTTGGCTCAGGTCATGATCCCAGGGTCCTGGGATTAAGCCCCGCATCGGGCTCCCTGCTCGGCGGGAGGACTGCTTCTCCCTCTCCTGCTCCCCCTGCTTGTGTTCCTACTCTCGCTGTCTCTCTCTCTCTGTCAAATAAATAAATAAAACTTCGAATTTATTTATTTATTTACTAAAGTTTATTTATTTATTTTGTAATCTCTATGCCCAATGTGGGACTCGAACTCACCACCCTGAGATCAAGCTCACATGTTCTTCTGACTGAGCCAGTCAGGCGCCCCAAAGCCCATTCGTTTTTAAACCCTAAGGGTCTAGCACAGTGTTTCGAGAGTGACATTGCGTGCTGTGTGGACGGCAGAGGAATTCGCAGAGCCCTGCAAGACGGGGAGAGGATCAAACACCCGATCTGGAAAGAGCTTGTACACCTCCGCATTCAGCACTTTAGTGCCGCTGCTTGCTTTGTATGTCCCAGCTCCAAACCCTTTGAAGGCAGAACCTCCCTTGACTACCAGCCACTCTTCCCCTCTCTGCTTCCACCCCCACCCCGCCACCACCAGGCTATTAGAACTTAATCCCTACAAACAGTGTTTCATTCTATGAGGGTCTGAACAGATTGTTTTCAAATCTCGTTTTTCTGTTCATACTTGTTCCCAGCTACATTTAGCGTCTGGGTATGGAAATGATTCTCCAGGTGACTAATGCTTCTCCAGGAAGGTGTTGATATGCTGTTTGCTATCCTCACCTTAATTAAAAGTCTTAGAAGAATTTTCCCCCATTGACCGAATGCAATAACATTACAGAATGTTAGTGTGACCTTTCTCCACTGGGGTACCGCTGCTGAGTGTCTACAAAACCATCTTTTCTTTCTTTATGTCCTTCCATCCAACTAACCTCATTCTCACACTTCATCAGCTTGTCTTGAAGACTGTGTGTTTCCAGTTAAACTCTCTGGATCTTTGCTTTAAACTATGATGTAAGCAATTCTGCTATAGCTAAAACTCTGACACAGTCTTTTCAGAGAGAGGAGAAACATTTATTTATTTATCAGCCTCCAAAATCTGTTGGGTAAGTAGGAATGAAACCTCTTTTCCTTTTCTTGTTTGAAAACACAGCCTTCTACTCTGAAAAAAGTGATATTCCATCCTGATTCCTATGCAATATATTCAAAGTATGCACAAAATCATTTTAAGTTATATGCTATCTCTATATAACTTTGTTGTTGGCGCCCGGAACCAATATCTAGAACGTCTTCACAATTGAAGATACTGTCCCTGAGAAGGGAAATAAGTTGCCTGAGGTCACTCAGCTAGAATAAAGTTGCTACTGTAACATATTTTGTATTAAGATTTTTCTTAATTTTCTTTTAGGGCGCCTGGGTGGCTCAGTTGGTTGGGCGACTGCCTTCGGCTCAGGTCATGATCCTGGAGTCCCTGGATCGAGTCCCGCATCGGGCTCCCTGCTCGGCAGGGAGTCTGCTTCTCCCTCTGACCCTCCCGACCCTCCCCCCTCTCATGCTGTCTCTCTCTCTGTCTCTCTCTCAAATAAATAAATAAAATCTTTAAAAAAAAAAAGATTTTCTTTTACCATGTCTAAGGTATACGCAGTATTGCCACCATTATCTTATAGGTTTGCTGTTTGAGGATTAGATGATATATGTAAACTGAAGAAATACACATGAGAAATGTACCATCTTTTTGTTATATTCACAAATGGATGCGTACTGAAAGATTTTAAATAGTGAATTAGTGTAAGAATTGAGAAAGCTGATTATGCATAAAGTACATAATTTAAAGTAATACCAACATCCTGGGACACCTGGCCGGCTCTTGATCTAGGGGTTGTAAGTTCAAGCCCCATGTTGGGCACAGTGTCTCCTAAAAAATAAAAATTTTTAAAAAAAATTTTAATAAAATAATACCAACGTCCTGAAATCATGTATTATCTCCTGGGTTTTATCCCTTCCTTCCTGTTCCTCCCTTCCAGGCTACCAATAAAGAAGCATAAGCTCACTGTACCCTGAAAGATTAAGAATCTTGTGTACTCGTCAAAGAAGCAGAATTAGAAAGGAGAAGCAAGATTAGCAGCACCTTACCTGCATAAATTCATAGCTGTCAAATTCCCCAAAGTATATTATATAAAAGCTCTCTGCAGGGGCACCTCATTGGCTCAGTCGGTTAAGTGTCCAGCTCTGGATCTCAGCTCAGGTCTTGATCTCAAGGTCATGAGTTCAGACCCCAGATTGGGCTCCAAGTTGGACGTAGAGCCTACTGGAAAAAAAAAAAAACAACTCTCTGAATTTTCCATAGTTACAATTAAAAACTAACATACAAGAAAAAAAATAATAGATCCTACAGTCTCAGGGCCATCTGGATGACAAAACAGCTCTTTAGGAAACTTGAAGTCACCAATGATTTGAAAATCCACAGTGAACAACCTGTCAGAAGTTCCTCTTTGTCTACCTCAATTCCACAAATCTCCTTTGTGATATGTCCACATTCCTCTCTAAAGAAATGAACGTGAAACTATTTTGAAAGATAATCAAGATTACTTGAGACAAAGGACAAATACTATATGATTCCACTTATATGAGGCGCCTAGAGTAAACAAATTCATAAAGATAGAAAGTAGAGGGGCGCCTGGGTGGCTCAGTTGGTTAAGCGACCGCCTTCGGCTCAGGTCATGATCCTGGAGTCCCTGGATCGAGTCCCGCATCAGGCTCCCTGCTCAGCGGGGAGTCTTCTTCTCCCTCTGACCCTCCCCCCTCTCATGTGCTCTCTCTCATTCTCTCTCTCTCTCAAATAAATAAATAAAATCTTAAAAAAAAAAAAAAAAGAAAGAAAGTAGAGTAGTACCTGCCAGGGACTAGAGGAGAGGGGCATTGTTACTATTTAACAGATACAGAGTTTCAGTTTGGGAACATGAAAAAGTTGCAAAGATGATGGTGGTGGTGGTGCACGATAGGAATATATTTAATACCACTGAAACTTACACTTAAAAATAGCTAAAATGGTCAATTTTATGTTGTCACAGAAAAAAAGATTACATCTTGAAATATTATAACCTAACAAAAGTCATCAAATATTTCTCCAAGTTTCTAAGAGTACAATGGAAAAATGACAAAAATAAAAAAATCTGATTTTATGTTCCATTTGGATGTAAGAACTTACTGCAACTTTAAACGGAGGCACTGTTTTCAGAAAACTGTTAAAATGCACTACTAAGGGGGTTGCTGGAGGGCTCAGTCGATGGAGCCTGTGGCTCTTGATCTCTGGGTCATGAGTTCAAGCCCCACGTTGGGTGTAGAGATCAGTCTAAAAATTAGTAAATAGGGCGCCTGGGTGGCTCAGTTGGTTAAGCGACTGCCTTCGGCTCAGGTCATGATCCTGGAGTCCCGGGATCGAGTCCCGCATCGGGCTCCCTGCTCGGCAGGGAGTCTGCTTCTCCCTCTGACCCTCCCCCCTCTCATGCTCTCTGTCTCTCATTCTCTCTCTCAAATAAATAAATAAAATAAAATAAAATAAAAAAGGCTTTCAGCTTTAAAAATAAATAAATAAATAAATAAATAAATAAATAAATAAATAAATAAAAATTAGTAAATAAATAAAAATGTACTACAAGGTGCTTAAAAATGGAGGAAGGAATTTCAGCCCTTTCCATGATCACATCAACACAGGTTTTCTTGTGTGGATGAGCTGAATACAGCTTAGGAAACTCAGAGCTCAGTTATTTATACAACAAATATTTGTTGTTGGCCAACGTGCCAAACAGTGACAGATTTTGGCGGTAAGACAGCAGAGCTAATGCACTGCTGTTGGGAGTTCCTCTCTCTCATCGAAGGAAGCTGACAAGTAAGCAAACCAGTAAGCAAATGATAATACAGATTGTGATAAACTCTCTAAAGGACATAAGCAGAATTAGGAATGATGAGTGGGACAGAAGACATTGATGGCCCTCAATGACCCACGCTCCCAGTATTCGTGCTCTTGTGAGGTTCCCTCCCATACTAGCTCTGGACTTGGCCATGCGACTTGCTTTGGCCAATGCAACAGTGGTGGGATGATGTAAGCAGAGGCCTCAAAAGCATTTGCACAAGTGGTTGGCGTTGAGGTGGGGGAAGGGGTATTTAAGATCGCGTGGTCAGGGAATACAAAGATAGTGGTAGTTAAGATCTAAAGGATATGAACCCTGAGAACAAAACTTTGAAAAGGAAGATACAGGGGCGCCTGGGTGGCTCAGTTGGTTGGGCGACTGCCTTCAGCTGGGGTCATGATCCTGGAGTCCCGGGATCGAGTCCCACATCGGGCTCCCTGCTCAGCAGGGGGTCTGCTTCTCCCTCTGACCCTCTTCCCGCTCGTGCTCTCTGTCTCTCATTCTCTCTCTCTCAAATAAATAAATAAAATCTTAAAAAAAAAAAAAGAAAAGAAAAGAAAAGGAAGATACAGTATAATGGTGAAAAAGGAGGGACCAAGGAAGGTGAAGCCCTGAGGATGGGAAATCCAGGCTTGGAATATTGTGGACCCAGGAGAGACTGATGGTGAACTTTTTGCCTCATTTCTGCTTGGACTGGCCTTATCTGGATACTAAATAAATCATAAGAAGAAGCCATAAAGGTTGACGAATTTTCTGGACAGATTCCTTGCTTTATAGAGAAATATTTGATTTTCAGCTAAGCTGAAAATAAGCAACAGATTTTTTTAAAGATTTATTTATTTATTTTAGAGAGTGTGCATGCACATGTCGGGGGGGAGGGTCAGAGGGAGAGGATCTTCAAGCTGACTCCCTGCTGAGCACAGAGCCCCTTCCAGCTCAATCCCAGGACACATGAGATTATGACCTAAGCCAAAACCAAGGGTCGGAGGCTTAACCGACTGAGCCCCCCAGGTTCCCCAATAAGCAACAGTTTTAAGAAGGCCAAGCAGCTTTCACTTTTATGTCTTTGGAAGCCCTGAGTTACCATGTTCAAATCTGGCTACCCTGCCAGAGAAACCACATGTAGAGTGTTGCGCCTTCACTTTCTCAAACTGAGAGACCGTGTGGGGAAAGAAGACCCGACACATAGTGAGAAGGAAGACCCAGCCATCTCAGTATCCCTGTTGAGTTCATCCCCACCTGCCCCACCAAATAAATGCAGGCATATGAGTGACCCACTGGTAAGAACAGCAGAAGAACTGCCCAGCTGATTTCAGAATCCAGATTTCAGAATCACGAGCCAGTGAAATAGTTGTTATTTGAACACTGAGTTTGGGGTGGATGCTATGCAACAATAAAAAAAAACCTCGGGCGCCTGGGTGGCTCAGTTGGTTGGGCGACTGCCTTTGGCTCAGGTCATGATCCCGGGGTCCTGGGATCGAGTCCCGTGTCGGCTCCCAGCTCAGTGGGGAGTCTGCTTCTCCCTCTGCCACTGCTCCCCCCGACCACCACTTGTGTTCATGCTCTCTCGCTCTCAAATAAATAGAAATTTTAAAAAATAACATCCTACAATGCACAGGACAAAGAATTATTTGGCCCAAGATGTCAATAGTGCCATGGATGAGAAATGTGGATCTACATGAAGGGTATATGTATTTACGACTTTGATAAATAATTGTCAGTCTTTTGTGGGGGCTCTGCCCATGTATTTTCTCCAGAGCAATTATGAGAATGTCTCTCACCAGCAGTATTTATCACCATGTACATGGATATGTAGATATAACTACCAACATAGGTATAGATATGGCACCTATTTTTTTTAAAGATTTTATTTATTTATTTGAGAGAGAGAGAATGAGAGAGAGAAAGAAAGAGAGCACACATGAGAGGGGGGAGGGTCAGAGGGAGAAGCAGCCTCCCTGCTGAGCAGGGAGCCCGATGCAGGACTCGATCCTGGGACTCCAGGATTGTGACCTGAGCCGAAGGCAGTCGCCTAACCAACTGAGCCACCCAGGTGCCCTGCATCTAGGACAAATCCTAGGAAAAATACCATCACTCTGGCATGTATTTGTGTAATCATAATCAAGGATGAGGGTCCTTTCACATATACAAGAGTCGTGTGTAGTTCCTCTGCTGTGACTTGTCTTTCATACCCTTTGCTCCTTTTTCTACTGGGCTGTTGTGCTTATTTGTCATTGATTTGTAAAAGCTCTATATATGTTAAGGAAATTACCCCTTTGTTTGTGATTTGAGTTGAAAGTATGATTTCCCAGTTTCGCAGACTGATGCAGAGAGGTAAATAGCTAGAAAGCAAACTATACTAAGACAACCACACTTAAATGAAAAAACATGTTTGTAAACTACAGCTTGAACCAGTGTAAGAAACTAACAAGGGGGGCGCCTGGGTGGCTCAGTTGGTTAGGCGTCTGCCTTCAGCTCAAGTCATGATCCCGGGGTCCTGGGATCGAGCCCCGCATCAGGCTCCCTGCTCCACGGGGGGCCTGTTTCTCCCTCTCCCACTGCTTGTGCTCTCCTGCTCTCTCTCTGCCAAATAAATAAATAAAATCTTAAAAAAAAAAAAAAAGAAAGAAAAGAAACTAACAAGGGATGTGTTGAGGGAAGAAAACTAGTATCTGCTGGCAAAAACCACACAATGAGGGACAGAGAGAAGCAGCGGGTAGGGGGCTGAAGAGACGGGGTGTTGTTGTCAGGGGAGAGAAATCCCCATCTGAGGCCAGACTGTGAACCTGCGAGACTGAATTTCAAACTGTAGGAAATTATTTAAAGCAGTGGATGATACCATAGGTCGAAGATCAGGCTCTCAGTTCAGTCTGTAAGTTCCCCTTGACCTTTTGAACCTTTGGAGTCTTGTCCCTCTCTCAGTCTCGCTGATAAAAAAAAAAATGACTAGCAACGAGAGACACATAATAAGCAAGGGTTCTGGAGTCACACTGTTTCAGATCAAGTCAGCAATACCACCTACTTGCGGTGTGACTTTGGGGGACTTACTTCAGCTCTCTGGGTCTCCATTTCCTTATCTGTAAAATGCGACTAACCGTAGTACCCACCCCTACAGAGTTATTATGACAGTAAATGAGTTAATAAATATGAAGCATTTAGAAGAGTACCTGGTACGTATATGCATATGGTTAAAGTTATTTAATGTTATTGGGGCACCTGGGTGACTCAGTCGGTTGGGCATCTGACTCCTGGTTTTGGCTCAGGTCATGATCTCAGGGTCATGGGATCGAGCCCCATCTCAGGCTCCATGCTCGGCAGGGAGTCTGCTTGTCCCTCTCCCTCTGCTCCTCCCCCATTCATGCTCTCTCTCTCTCTCCCAAATAAATAAATAAATATCTTTTAAAAATAAAAATAAAGTGGGGCGCCTGGGTGGCTCAGTCGGTTAAGCGTCTGCCTTTGGCTCAGGTCATGATCCCAGGGTCCTGGGATCGAGTCCCACATCGGGCTCCCTGCTCGGCGGGAAGCCTGCTTCTCCCTCTCCCACTCCCCCTGCTTGTGTTCCCTCTCTCGCTGTGTCTCTCTCTGTCAAATAAATAAATAAAATCTTAAAAAAAAAAAAAGAATCCTTTAAAAAATAAAAATAAAGTTATTTGATGTTATTAATACACTCTAATATACACACATACTTAGTCTATTTCAGACAAGTAACACAGTATCTCAGATTTTCAACCACTGTTGTATACAATTATCCTCATTTCACAGTAAGGAAACTGAGGCTCAGGAAAAGGAAATAAGATCCACTTTTTTCATCACCTTTGGGTCATCTCCCAATATTAAAGAAAGTAGTATCTTTACAAGGAAAGCTTGTAGAAAAAAAAAATACCTTACACAGGCGACCAGAAACCATCTTCAAGTATAGGAAGGGTTATCGTGAGGACCAGAAATTAACTTTACTCTGTTGCTCCAGGGAGCAGAAGCGCTATCAATGGGTAGAAAAATCAAGGGATGTAGAATTTGGTTCGACCTTATGAAGAAGTTGCTGTTTATACCTTCCAATGTAGCTCCAGTTCCTAGCCCAGTGCTTGGCAACAGTTCTCAATAAATATTTGCTGAATGAATGTATAAATGAATGAAGAGCTTTCCAAAATGGCACAGACGGCCTCAGGAGCACTCCATCCCGGCATGTGTAAGAAGAGGCTATAGCTAAGCAAGCACCTTACGGAAGGCTAGAAGAAATGCCACTGACATACAACTATGCTATCTGAGTCTTCAGGAAGAAAAATGATCCTAGAGAATATGCAGGAGAGAAGTTCTTCTCAGAACCACTAAGGGACTGACTGCTGGCTTTAAAAGTTTCTGTACTACAGGTGAAAGTAACTTCAAAGGGGACCCTCGTCAAATGCTTCTCGTTGTTTTTGTGGGACACAGGTTTCAAGAGGCAAGACCACTCTAGTGATACTTTATACAGGTAAAATCAAGTAAAGGAAAAAAGCTGTAAGCAGCATGCCTTGGCAAGAAAAAAAAGAAGGAAGGGATGGTTCAAAAGGGCATTGGCAACATATAAAGTTTTAATAGAAATTAGTAATAATTCCCACCATTTGAAGATTTATGATGTGCCAACCACTGTGAGAAACCCAAGTCTCAATGGAAAAATGAGTTATCTTCCAATTTTTGGAGGTACTGGAGCCAGAGAGGACCAAGTTTAAATTCTGACTGGAACATTTAATCATTGTTTCACTCTAGGCAAGCTTCCCACATCCTTGGGTCTTCAGTTTTGTCACATGTGAATCAACAAAATTGGAGATAAATAATTCCACACAGATAGAACACACTAGATGCAAAACGTCTCCCACAGGACCCAGTAGATTTTGGCACTCCCCCCGCCTAGCCTGTACAATATAAGGAGCTGCCTATGACAGCTGAGAATGACCAAAGATTAAATGGCTCGCTTCATGAGCCAGGGAGTCCTCCACCTCCGGAGGTGTTTATTCACAGGCTACGTGCAAACTCCAACACGTACATAATGCTTCCTACGTGCCAGGAACTGCTGCGTGTGATTTATAGATATTTATGAATTCTGCTGATCCTCCCAACCCTATGAGGAGATGCGACTGTTAGCCACATTTTACAGATGCGGGAACTAGGGAGCAGCTAAGTGGTTTGTGTGAGATGATAGCACTAGCAGGTGCCAGAAATTTCAGCCCAGAAGTCCCGCTCTTAACCACTTCACTAACTGCCTGTAAGCAAGAGCGTGAAGGACATTTCGCTCTTAGTTTTGTGTACTGGAGTCCACGACCTTGACGTTCCTCCCAGCACAGAGATCCCGCGCGCCCGTATCTCTGCCTAGTGTGAACAGCTAAAGGGCTTCGACCAGGACGGACAGAAGAGCTCAAAGGAGAAGCAGTAGATGCCAGCACGCGGGGCGGCCCCAGGCGCAGCGCGTCCCACGCTCCGAGAGCGCCCCTCGGCCAGCGGCTGCTCAGCCCCACAGGACACCTGCCAGGCCAAGGCCGGGCCGCGAAGCGAAGGCGTTTCCCGGAGCCAGACCCTAGGTGTCACCAGTGCGACCGCACGGCCACTCCTCCGTCCGTCCTCTGCACTCGGGCTGCCACAGGAAATAACACTGTCAGCGGCGCGGAGGGGGGCGCTGACGCACGGAGGGCGGAAAGGGCGTGGGTGCGAGAGCCGCGAGCCGGGCTGTTGGTGCCCGCGGCGCCCTGCAGCCGCGCCCCGGCCCCGGCGCCCCCCGCCCGCAGCCCCGCGCCCGCCGCCCCCCGCCTGCAGCCCCGCCCCGCCCGCAGCCCCGCCCCCGCAGCCCCGCCCCGCCCACCGCCCCGCGCCCCGTGCACCGCGCTTCCTTGCCCCGCAGCGGCTCCGAGAGGGGGGCTGGCAATCCACCGCCCGCAGCTCCAACTTTGGTTTTAAAGGTTATTGCCGCGGATTTAGGCTTGGGGTTTGGACTTTGAGGGGGAAGGGGAACATAACAGAACTTTTCTGCGTTTCCCTCTGCCTTGAACTACATTTAGATCTAGCGTCTCATGCTAACTCAATCGGCTGGAGAAAATAATAAAGCCGTGCGGACTTACATGTGCATATTAGTAAAGAGAATGCTTTCACAAACTCTGTCTTGTTTGATCCTCCTGACACACCTGTGGAATAGACAGGACAAGGGTTAGCATCCCCATTATACAGGTGAGAACAGTGAGGTTTGAGGAGACGGTAGACAGGACTCAAAATGGTATTCACTTTGTCTCCAAGAGATTAAAAAAAAAATCCCTGGTTTTTAAATTAAATATTTTGTATAGGGGCGCCTGGGTGGCTCAGTCGTTAAGCGTCTGCCTTCAGCTCAGGTCATGATCCCAGGGTCCTGGGATCGAGCCCCTCATCGGGTTCCCTGCTCTGCGGGAAGCCTGCTTCTCCCTCCCCCACTCCCCCTGCTTGTGTTCCCTCTCTCGCTGCGTCTCTCTCTGTCAAATAAATAAATAAAATCTTTAAAAAAATAAAATAAATACTTTGTATAGTGAGCCCATGTAATATATAAAGACTGGGCATTATTCAAACTCCTTATTCATCATCTCCTCCACCCCCCCCCCCAATATATTTGCTTGGCCACAAGAGGAAAAAAGTTATAACCCAGAGCAAGGAAGAAGACAGTTCTAGATGAAAAGAGACTTAAAATACACACTAAGTGCACTAAGTGTGGTTCTTGACCCAATCCTCATTTGAATGAATCAATGAAATGGATATTTGGGATCAACTTCGAAATTTTGAATATAGACCAGGAATTACGTAACATTAAGGAATTATTGTTAATTTTTGTCAGGGATGATGATAGTATTGTAGTTATAAAGAAACATGTTCTTGTTTTTAGAGCTTCCCCGTGACATCTTTAAAATATGTTAGCGGGATGCCTGAGAGGCTCAGTGGGTTAGTGTCTGCGTTCGACTCAGGTCATGAGCCCAGGATCCTCGGATCTAGTCCCACATTGGGATCTTTGCTCAGCAGGGAGCCTGCTTCTCCCTCTGCCTGCCGCTCCCCCTGCTTGTGCGCTCTCTCTCTCTGACAAAATCTAAAAAATAAAATAAAATGTTAGTAAAAAACTAATACATAAATAATAAATAAAATGAAATACACTAGCAAAAAATAATAAGCATATGTGACAATATACTGACTATTGTTAGCTCTAGGTTACGGATATACATAGAGGCGTTTATCTTACTATTCTATTTTTCTTGAGGTTTAAATTTTTCATAATGAGGTAAAAAAACTGCTGAGAAAAGCAGTGACTCGTTCTTCCTTTTACAGTTAAACGTCTTTGTCTTTTTAATTTTTTTGTATTTTGACATTTTCCTTGACTGCCTTTCAGTGTACAGAAAATTTGATGGGTGGGGCGCCTGGCTGGCTCAGTTGGAGGAGTCCCACATCAGGGGTAGAGATTACTTAAATAAATAAACTTAAAAAAAAAAAAAAAAGAAAATTTAGTGTGAAACATAAATGGGGGAAGAGGCCTCATGTTACATTTGACTGAAATTCTACACTATCTATGTCTTTGATCAGACCCTACAGATTACAAATAGGAGCCTAATACACAGAATGTGAAAAAATTCCTCATAAAAGAAAAGAAAATGGTGCTCTGAAGGATTTTTTTTTCCTTTTTGCTTCTCATTTTGAAACCATTCAAACTTACAGGAGTTGCAAGAATAGTATGAGGACTCCTGTGGACCCTTCACCCAGATACATCTATTGTTAACACTTTGCCATATTTGCTCACCACTCTTTCTTTCTCTCTACACAGTTACATGTATTTTTTCTGGACCATTTGAAAGTAAACAGCAGACATCATTCCCTTTTACCCCTAAATACTTCAGTGTGGATCTCATGGAAATGGGGACTTTTTTACATAACAACACAATTATCAAATTCAGGAATTTTTAGCATATACAGTCCCTATTCAAACTTTGCCAATTGGCCCAACAATGTCCTTTATAGTATCTTACCCAAATCCAGAATTCAGGATCAAACCTTTGTGCATTGCATTTGGTTGGTGCCTCTTTTTAGTTCCTCTTAATCTGGAACAGCCTCTTAGCCTTCCTCTGTCTTTCAGGACATGAACAATGAAGAGTACAGTCCAGTTGTTGTGTATAATTTCCCTTAATTTAGGCAGAAAACCTACAAATGCTCTTTAATTATAATTCCAAGAATTTACCAATTCAACCTCTTCTTCAAGAGCTATAATAACACTTACAGGAGAAGAGAAAAATTGAACTGTTAAAACTTGAAAATATAGGGGCGCCTGGGTGGCTCAGTCGTTAAAGCGTCTGCCTTCGGCTCAGGTCGTGATCCCAGGGTCCTGATCAAGTCCCGTATCCGGCTCCCTGCTCAGTGGGAAGCCTGCTTCCCCTCTCACACTCCCCTTGCTTGTGCTCCCTCTCTCGCTGTCTCTCTCGCTGTCAAATAAATAAATAAAAATCTTAAAAAAAAAACAACAACAACTTGAAAATATATATAAAGAACATTATTCTCCCAGAGAAGATTCAGAGAGACCTCACTGGTGAATGAAATTAGTTAAATAAATTTACATGATAATATCAGATTTAAACTAAGTGAAAAGATTAACTGGTGACTAATAATTTGGCAATAAAACATACTACTAAGTGAATCTCTAGTGATGTCTAAAAGTTTGGGTTTCTTTTATTTTAATTTAATTAATTTTTTTTTTTAATTTTTTTTTTTACTTTAAAAAAGGGGCACCTAGGTGGCTCAGTTGGTTAAACGTCTACCTTCAGCTCAGGTCATGATCCCAGGGGATCATCAGGCTCCCTGCTCAGTAGAGAGTATGCTTCTCCCTTTCTCTCTCCCTCTGCCTCTCCCCCTATTCATGCTCGTTCTCGATCTCAAGTAAATAAATAAAATCTTTAAATAAATAAATAAATATCAAACAGGGGTGCCTGCTCAGTTCATGGAGCATGCGACTCTTGATCTCAGGGTCATGAGTTCAAGCATCACATTGGGCATGGAGGGTACTTTAAAAAACAAAACAAAACAAAAAACAGCAAACAAACAAAAGCCTTAAAAAATAGCATACTATTTTTTTTTAAATCTGGGATACGTAAGATATGTTTATACAAAAATAAGAAAATCAAATTACAACTTAAGATATCTTCCACAATGTGGATTCTGAGATAGAAGGAACCTTACAGATTATCCAAGCAACTGAAATTTTACAGAAAAAAAAAAAAACAAAACACACACCAAAACCCAGACTGTATCCAACAGAAATACTCAGACAAGTGTACATGGGTGTTTGTACAAGGATATTCCCCCAATACTGTTTATAATAATGGGGGGGGGGAAGGAAATGATCTCAATACCCATCAATGGGAGGGGTTTTTTTTCATTAGGCAAATTTTTCAGAAGTTATTTTTAAAAATTTTGGGGGGGTTGCTTGGCTGGCTCAGTCAGTAGAGGATACGAGGCCTGATGTCAGGGTCATGAGTTCAAACCCCACGTTGGGCGTGGAGCCTACTTTAAAAAATAATAAAAATAGGGGCAGTTGGGTGGCTCAGTTGTTAAGTGTCTGCCCTCAGCTCAGGTCATGATCCCAGAGTCCTGGGATCGAGCCCCGCATCGGGCTCCCTGCTCAGCCCCCCTGATTGTGTTCCCTTTCTTGCTAGGTCTCTCTCTGTCAAATAAATAAATAAAATCTTTAAAAAAATAAAAAATAATAAAAACAAAGTTTTAAAAATAAGTTCTTATTATGAGAGGTTTTTAAAAAATGTTTTGTCAATATATTAGACTCTCTATAGCCATTAAATAATAAGGCAAATGTATATTTAATGAAACAGGCCTATTATACATGAAATGGTAAAGCAAACTCTAAAATACCATCTGTAGTATAATCGCCCCTTTTTAAAGTAAATGCGTACAGGTGTGTGTGGGAACTGAAAAAAATCTGAAAATAAATATACCAAAATATCACTAGCAATGGATGACTTCCAGGCAAGACTAGAATTGATTTCAATTAACTATTTATCTTTAGTAAAGTGTGAATTTTATATCACTTATTATTTCATTAAACAGGAAAAATAAAGTTATTTTCATTGCAAGAAGAAGCAAGTATCTTTTTTTCATTTTTACTCCAACCAGTGAGTATTAACCATGTCCCAAAGCATGTAGAACAATGCTATGGAATTGTTACTGGCTGAAGACATTCTTCTTTTTTTTTTTTTTTAAGATTTTATTTATTTATTTGACAGAGACATAGTGAGAGAGGGAACACAAGCAGGGGGAGTGGGAGAGGGAGAAGCAGGCTTCCTGCTGAGCAGGGAGCCCGATGCGGGGCTCGATCCCGGGACCCTGGGATCATGACCTGAGCCAAAAGCAGCCGCTTAACGACTGAGCCACCCAGGAGCCCCGAGACATTATTCTTAATATCCAAGATCAGAATTGCAGTAAAGATAACAGGGAAGAAAGCCTATTTGAAAGTGGAATTATGTCACTGGGATCAGAATGTGAAAAAAAACCAAAAAGAGTATGTCTCACTCATTTGAGAATGACATGCTGTGGGAAATTTTTTGGATGAATGAGTAGAAGGATGGATGGATGGATGGATGGATGGATGGATGGATGGATGGATGGATGTGTGTATGGGTGGATGGATGCACAGATGGAAGAACGGATGGATATGTGGGTGGACAGATGGGTGGGTGGATGAATGGGCAGATGGATAGATGGACGGATGGATGGGTGGATGGACGGATGGACGGGCAGATGGATGGATGAACAGACTTCAATATGTGTGAATGTGCAAGGTATACCATTCCATAAAGAACTGGAGGCAGCTGGGAAGAGGGTTGAACAGTTAGATTGATCTAGGTTTTCATTCTTTAGTATTTATGGTCAACTTTCACAGTGACTGTACTTTTTTCACGTTATTACACCCTCCTAAGGAAGAGAAGGGAGAAGTTCAGGCCTCTGCTACTCCTCCAATCTCTGCCCAATAAATAGCAACAAAGAGTGGATGAAAGCACGGTGAAGAGCGATAACCACCACTATTTGAGGAATTTTTAACCTCTGGAGGTGGTGTGGGGCCCCTGCAAAATCCAGAAATACGAACACCCAATTCTGGTTCTATTTCAGGAGATTCTTTTTTTTTTTTTTTTTTAAGATTATTTATGTATTTATTTGACAGAGAGACACAGTGAGAGAGGGAACACAAGCAGGAGGAGTGGGAGAGGGAGAAGTAGGCTTCTCGCAGAGCAGGGAGCCCAATGTGGGGCTCGATCCCAGGACCCTGGGATCATGACCTGAGCCGAAGGCAGGCGCTTAACGACTGAGCCACCCAGGCGCCCCTCAGGAGATTCCTGAGCCCCCAGAGTCCCACCCATTAATTTCGTTGAAGTTCACCAAGTCCATGTTAAGAACTCCCAAGGTAACCTGTAGCAAGAAGGACTGGACCTGGCAGTGACAGGCAGAACGGACCATAAAAGCTTTAGAGGTAAAGCCCTTGTATTTCTATTTGACAAGGGGATCTTGCTGCCTTGAATGTAGCTGCAGCAAACAGGCACTTAAATTTAGGAAGGAGGGGTGCCTGCGTGGCTCAGTCGTTAAGCGTCTGCCTTCAGCTCAGGTCATGATCTCAGGGTCCTGGGATCGGCCCCCCTCATCGGGCTCCCTGCTCCGCAGGAAGCCTGCTTCTCCCTCTCCCACTCCCCCTGCTTGTGTTCCCTCTCTCGCTGTGTCTCTCTCTGTCAAATAAATAAATAAAATCTTTAAAAAAAAAAAAAAAGAGTCCATGATTCCTCATGAAGAAAAAGAAAGGGGCGCCTGGGTGGCTCAGTTGATTAAGCGACTGCCTTCGGCTCAGGTCATGATCCTGGAGTCCCGGGATCGAGTCCCGCATCGGGCTCCCTGCTCGGTGGGGAGTCTGCTTCTCCCTCTGACCCTCCTCCCTCTCCTGCTCTCTGTCTCTCATTCTCTCTGTCTCAAATAAATAAATAAAATCTTTAAAAAAAAAAAAAAAGAAAGAAAGAAAGAAAGAAAAAGAAAGACAACTGAGTGTGCATTTATTTATTCAACAAATCTATATTGAGTTTTCACTGTATGCCAGGCCTTGTTCCAGGAGCTGGAGACATAACAAGGAGCAAAACAAATCCAGCCATGTGGAATGAGCTTTCTTGTTGAGGTTGGGGAGGAAGACAATAAACAGGTAAACAAGCAATTATTTGATATAATGTCACAATGTAATAAGTGCCAGAAAGAAAAATGCAGTAGGGGAAAGAGAAAAAGAGCAATGGGAAGCTTTTATGACAGAGGAGAGTTAGGGAAGGCTTGGCTGAGAAAAAGCACTTGAACAGACACCAGAATGGAGTGAAGGAGCGAGTCATGTAAGCATCTGGGGAAAGAGTTTTCCAGGAAAACAGAACAGGAAATGCAAAAGCCCTGGAGAGGGAATGTGCTCCATGTGTTAGAAACAGCTAGGAGGCCACTGTGGTTGGAGGGAGGTGATCAGGGGAGATGGTGGAGCGAAGTCCAGGACGTAAGCTGGTGTCAAACCACATAAAGGCTCGGAGGCCACAGGAGGGGCTTTGAATCGTCTTCTAAGAGTCATGGGAAACCACCAGAAGGAGGCTTTTCAGAAGGGCAGTATCACCATCTGACTTGTGTTTTATGATGGGTCATTCTAGCTGCTATGTGGAAAAGAGACAGAAGGAGGGTGAGTACGAAAGCAGAGAAGAGAAAAGAGAACATGTATTTTTCCCTTTCCACATGGTACTGATGATTTTTGGCGGCCCCAGGAAAGAGAACATAGATATAAAAATTATTGGATCAAACTGAATGCTTCAGACCAGTTCATTCTACCAGTATGTCACCAACATCCGGTTGATGGGCCCTAGAAATGAGACAGCAGTCTCCCACCTAATGTTAGCTGTGATATTGTGATTTATAATAATATATATTTGGTCTTTGTCCCCATTTCTGGCACAGAGCTTTTTTTTTTTTTTAAGATTTTTATTTATTTTTTTGAGAGAGAATGAGAGTGATAGGGATCACAGAGGGAGAGGGAAAAGCAGACCTGCCACTGAGCAGGGAGCCTGATGTGGGGCTCAATCCCAGGACCCTGAGACCTGACCTGAGCTAAAGGCAGATGCTTAACCAACTGAGCCACCGAGGTGCCCCTGTCACAGAGCTTCTAAAAACCTTAGAATTTCCTAAGTGATGAGAGTGACAACAGTGTCTCTGGTTGTATTAATAAGTCATCTTTAAGACTGAACCTAAGGATGGGGGCTGGTTACCTGGGGAACCAACCATATGACTAGAGGGTTGGAACTTTCAGTCCCATCCATCCCCCTGATCTCTGGGGTAAGGAGAGGGGTTGGATGTTGAATCAATCCCCAGTGGCCAGTAATTTAATCAATCATTCCTATGTAATGAAGCCTCCATGAAA